GGCTCCATCCGGAAAGAGAGAACCCAGGATCCAACGTCCCGAGATCGGACCTGAGCTTTCTTCAGCTGCGGCGTCTTTTGCCATTTGGAGTATGGATCACCTGGCTGCCACAGCATTATGTTAATGTTTAGGTTTGGCTTCCTTGGGCTTCTTGGGGGGGGGGGGTGATGATAACACGAAAGTCCGACAGTCGGGAGTTACAGGATGCCTCAGGAGTACGTTGTAGGATGTTTGTTAGGGTCTGTGGGGTTTAGTCAGGTGAGTTGGGCCTTGAAAGGTCCTGGGGTCTTTGCTGCGAATCCCTAAAGCCGAAAACCCTGAACCCTTAAATCCCTTAAGTCCCTAACCCACCCTTAAAAAAATAAAGTAAAGATGACTAGATTATGAAATAATTTAAACCCATGAACTTGGAGTCGGGCTTAAGGCCTTTGTGCTTCCACTTCAAGGCTTTCGGTACCGATAAGGGTTTCTGGATTTAGGGGCTCAAGTCTGAAGGCGTTTTTAAGGGTTTTGAATTCCGAAAGATTTCGAGTTTAAGACTTGGGGGTTTGAGGGTTTCAGGATTCCGGGCTCATTTTGGGGTACAGGGGCACATGCCTGTGATCCGAGAGAACCTAAAACCGAAAGCTCCCAGATCCATACTATATCTCCAAATATATATATATATATATATATATATATCCGCGCAAACCACACATCCCCAAAGCCTCGACCCTTATCCAAAACCAAGCGGGGCCTGTGCATTAATCCCACACACCCGATTCCCCCGTACTTCGAACCTGGCTCAGAGCACTTGAAACAGTTTAAGTAGCATCCCAAACCGCAAATCCCAGAGATCCCCCAAATCCTGAAAAAAATCCGAGGAGTTTGCAAACTTGGCATCGAATCTACATGGATGGCTGTGGATGGATCTCGGAGATCTTCATCGGGGCGTGGTTGCATTGCGGGGCCATAGAACCCTAAACTTTGGGCTTTGGGTTGTGGGTTGAGGTCAACCCGGAGTGAGGCCGGATATTGTAGCAGCAGCAAGCCCCTAATCCCTAATTTAAGACCCCATCAGTCCGAAACCCTTGCAGCTCCGAGTAGAACCCCGTAGAACCCCTTAAAACCATCCCAAAGCAGCCAAAACTCATCTTGAAACCCTAAGCCTTGGAAGCCCTGATTGTGAATAAAAACCACAAGCTTAAATCGATGGCTCTCGTCAGGGACACGGATCTGGGAGATCGTGAGGTTTTGGCGTATGCGGGACAGGTGGCTATTGGGGTATAATCAAACAGAGCCTAAGCGTAGGCCTCCGGGGTTTAGGGCCTAGGGTTTAGGGCCTATAGCAAATCATATTTAGGGTTGAAGGTGTCGCGATTTTTTATATATTTTTTGTCTGAATGAAAGCCCCAATCCTGAAATCCGAAAAGCCTGAAGCCAAAGAGCGAGACTCTTGGAGGTCCGAATGGAACCCCATGAAGCCCAAAGCAAAGCCCCCTAAACCCGCTTAAGCCCATATCGAACCCAGAACCGAGGAATGCCTCTAGATGGTAATAGTTCTAGAGAAGTTTAGGATTCGGGGTTTA